ATATATACATATATATGTATATATATATATATATATATATATATATAAAAACAACATTCAGGACCTTCCAAGTTCCTCCCAAACTATTCCTCGGTACGAAATGGTGTCACCACACTGACCAGATCCTGTCAGGCTTCACCAGTTGTTCCCAGTGGTGTGTGATGACCCTTTTTCGTTGTCATTATCCTAGACACAACTGGATTGATGGTACCACTGTTATCCTGTCTACTCTAAACCCTTCATTGCTGTTTTGTCTCTCACACAGAACATAAGCACAGGACTGGCCGTTGCTGGTGTCATTGTAATTGCAAGGAGTATCAAACTGGTAAGAGAATTAAGGCACACACTGGCAAAGGGACCCTCAAATCACAGACTCGGCTCACGGTTGCATTTTGGATTTAATGAGCATTTGCTGTTGCACAGTAATAACCTTTGTTTCAGGTTCAAATTTGACACTAATACTCCTCAGTAAAGTGGAAACTATATATTCTTGCAGTCCATCAGCTTCTGTTCTCTCACTTAATTCCAAATCTCATTGCGTCTAATAATGTTAGACTTGTAGTATGTTAATGAAATTACATTTTCAGACAAATGAGTCATTTAACGTGGCCACTCAGCTGTGTCATTCCACCTCTTCAGCTCACCAAATTTCAAGCCGCGTCTGAGATCCCTGCTCGTTTTATTGAGAGGAACGTCAGCCTTCGTGGGAAAGTTCATTCAATCACAGAGAGAGGACTTGAAGTGGAACATGTCCCAATTTATCTGCCAGTCGTCTCTCCGTTTCTTTCTCAACACAAAGGTAAGAGTATCCTTTGAGTGCAATCATGAAGGCGAACACACACACACACACACACACACACACACACACACAAACAAATATTACAGCTTGCATCCCATCTTACACATGAATAACCCATCAAGAGTCTGAACAATTAAAATGGTCCAATCAGCACACAGCTTGCCTCATTAGTTCAACAGCATGATAAGTTACAGAAGGGGCACCTTTTTGTCTTGTTCTACCCTAAAATGTCATTGTGACATCTTTACTTTGTAAATGTCAGACTGTTTCATTTCATCATCTTTTCATGAGTGAGAGTGACAGGTAAGCTTGTTATCTGTGTTATCAAATTATGGTATTCACTGACCAATAACGTCAAGCAGCTAATGCTTTATAGAGAGTACCCCATCAGCATCTTCAGTGTGAAGGACTCACATGAACAGATTGTCTCCTGTCGAGTTATTGCAAATATTACCTTTGTCCTACTTGACCTCCCACGTTTTAAAGCTGGTTAGACCCATTGTTTGGGACTGTGGCTATACACAAAGAGGATTTACTTACTTGTCTTTCATAGATGTGGTTGGTCTGCGTGTGCTATTTTTCATATTAAGTCTCGGCCAATCACAGTTAGGGCTAAAAAATTGAGTCTTAAAAACAAAACCACCAAAATGAGTCACTACTAACAGTATTGAAAATTGGTTTGTAATGGAAGCAGGCATCAAATGTTCCAATATTAGACTATTATATATAGGAAAAGTTATTGTACAGCTGCTTTGTTTAGACCACATTTAACATTAGAAGAGTTTATTTTCTTTTGTTAAATTCACAAAAATTGAACATATTTATATTTTTCAAAATAAGGTAAAAAACAAAGGTATCATTTTTTTTTATTGGTACCAAAACTCAGGTATCATATCAGATCCATAAAAAAATCATTAAAGAAAACCCAGCCCTGGTGATATTCAGTATTACAATGTACATAACTGCAGATCAGCTATATCCTATGCTTTACTGTAACACCATGGTAAATGGCTCTTTCATGTCCTCTTTAGGTGGGTGCAGGTCACCAATGCTGGTGCATCTTGCAGGAGTGGAGTTGACTCCAGAGGGCAGGGTATGGCTGCAGAAGAACTTGGCTCCTGCCCAAACAGTCTGGCTAAAACTTATCAGCCGAGAAGACGACATGCTACACTGTTTGGTGTCTCAAAGCAGGGTGAGTCAGTGGAGTCAGTCTCACAGCCAGTGGCTGAAAAAGTACTTGTATACATGTATAGTAGACGTATACCTGATGTGAGACTGTTAGGAGTTTATGTTCTATAAAGTCATTTCTTTGTCTCTCCAGCAGGGGTCGATGTGGAGCTACTGTATCAACGAAGAGGTCCTCAGGCTCGGTCTGGCTCACGCTGCGCCCGTGGTCGGGGTCCTGCCTGACTCTAGCCTCTACTGGCGTCTCCTCAAACGGCTGCACAGGGCAGAGGTCAAGGCTGAGAGGAAGGGGCGGGGACTGTGGAAGCAGGACAGCCTATGGGAGAGAGCCTCAAAGGTTGTCAGAGACAACGCTTTATTCAGACTGATGAGGAGGATCTTTAAGAAGACCTGAGACTGATCGTTCCAAGACAGAGTTGTTTAGTTAAGATGTGACAGCACATGATCTGCCTCATTTATTCTGTATACCTGTGATATCTTGACACAAAAGGAGCTTAACAATCTTATCACAGTCTTTAAAAAGTGCCATCCATCACTAATCTGTTATGTATGATAGATGTGCCTATCAAGTCAATGAAAACAGCTGGATTCCCCTGATCTTACAAAGAAACCTCTAGTTTTGTGTTTTTATTTCTGCTGTTTCACAGAAGTTTGAAATGATTAAAACACATTTCAAACCCTACTAATCCTTTGGCTTTCACTTACCCCATCAGACCACAGCTTAGCACAGCCTCCTCTGTAGCAGTGTCTGTGTGTGTGTGTGTGTGTGTGTGGGACTCCCTACTAATCACTAAACGAATGTGGGGTATGTTAATGGTTTTCAAAATGCAGAGGGGGGTCCCTCTCACTGTTGCTATAGAAACACCAAATGTGAAATACAAAGCAAAGGCTAAACTCTATATGGGAGCCTTGCATGTTGTGCGGCTGTGTGGGGATCTTAAGGTACCTACACAGAGGGCCCTTTTAGCCGTAACGTGATCAAGACATTTGACTCCTTAAATGGAACAGAAACGAGACCCAGCCTGTAAACTGCCTTGATTTCACGTGGTGTCATTATAGCAATGAATGAAGAACCCTTTTGAAGAATAAGCCCCAAAGCAAATGTCATGTATTTCTAGGATTGTGCTCATGTGCTTGTCTTTAATGTTTGCAATACAAGTCCACTGCCAAAATTGCACCTTGTGCTGTGGTTGCTATCCATGCTTCATCCAAGCACGGCAGAGGAGGAGGAGGAGGAGGGCCAGCAAATGAAGCCGGACTGTAATGTGTGTCCCGTGGGGTGCAGGGTGAGGGGGTCTAGATGCAGTGAGTGGGAGCACCGGCCAGTCAATCCAATGGGCTGAAGGAGATTAGTGCAAAGGGGAGGAGGGTCTCAGGGGTAGAAGGGGATTTTGGGTCCGGGCACAAAGACAGCAGAGGAGGAGTCACAGGGGAAGGGAAAGGGAGTGAAGGAAAGGGGGGGTTGATGAATCAGCTCTCTTTTGTTGTGCAAATGTTACTAGCGACTGTTACTGGTCAAAGAGGCTTGTGATTGGTGGGCTGGTTTAAATTGTAAGGTGCATTTCAGGCTGATGGCTGTTGCTGCCAGACTTTGAACTCGCACAGAGGGAGGAGTGGAAGGGAAACCACGAGATGGAGAAACAGGGGGAAGGAAGGGCAAACACCTTCTGAAGCTGAAGCACGCGTCTTTTTTTCGCAGATGATTAGCGAATATTTGTGCAGATAGGAATGTCTTTGTGTGAAGTCAACGGTTAATATTTTATTGGAGTCATGTGGTCATCAATGTGCTGCATGGTTACCTGCCATACTGTATATTGTAAATTACTCACCATTTGTCCAAATTGAAGCTTGAAGAAGTTTCAAAGGAACAAGATTATTTTAAAAAGAAGTTGGAACGTCAAGGTAGGATTTAGGACCACTTGTTTCTTCATCATATTTTAAATACTACTGGGCAAAATAATGTTAAAATTAATCATAATATTTCATTCTATTAACACAAAGTAAGTGAAGTACTGTCACATACTGCTAAAAAGGGTTAATAAGGTCAGTGTTCTTACATTTTGATATACAATAATTTAATTAGTCTTTCTTCTCTTTATTTGTGTTCCTCGTGTTGAATCTAGATTACTCATTCAATCATTCCTCTCTTTGGTCCCTTGTGGAAAAACTGTCCACTCCGAAATCCATTCCAGGATTTTCCTTACTCCACTCGTCACACACTAGTAGTACTCATTTGAAAAGGCACAGTGCTTGATGTAGTGGTGGGTACTTGCCCACACTAGTGAAGTTGTTGGGACATTCTCTGTGCTTGAAACCACACTGCTGGGACTATCACTGGCTTACATTACATCTGTGCTTGATGCCATGGACATGCAGTGCCTGAAGGACTACTGTTCTGGTGACAGTGGTAATATTTTGTGAGGAAGCTGACAACGTGGTTTAAAAAATCTGAAACTGAACTGGCAGAAGTAAGTGAACCTGTGATGCTTGCTGTGATTCATAAAGACATTTCTTTGAGGAAAACAGTGACATTGTATCTCACATGGTGCATTTTTCTAACTTAAAAAGACACTTTCCTGACACTTAACTGTGCACTTTTCTGTCGATAGCAATCAGCATACAGTTAACTGCCACTTTAAATGTATTGTTGTCAGGATACTGTGTACAGTATCCAAGCAAATGTGCACCTGTTAAACCTGTGTACCTGGACACAGCTCTGTAATATAGAAACTCAAGACTTTTCAGTCCTTGTCTTTATTGACCCCTCTAAGGAAAGCCACAGACAATCAGGCTCAAAAGCATTTTCTTAATCTTGGATCATTTTGACAACCACAAACTGCCTGAGCTGATGTGATCAGGTATATATATTTGTCATGTACATTGGCTTGTATTCTACTAGAAGCAATAATTCATCTGTGTGATTGATAAAGCATTTTCTGCTCCATGCGTTTCACATTTTGGTGCTCCTTCCCATTGTGCCTTAACTTAACAACAGAGATTTGCAGCAGGGCAGCATAACAAAGGCCTTTATTAAACTCAGCCGGCAGCCATTGAAGAGAGAAAGAGATGGGGCAATCCCCCCGTCCGAGAGCAGGGTCCTTGGGGATTTTTTGATTTGATTTGAGTGGTTGTGTGTAGCTACCCGGGTGTGAAAGACAAAGAGATTTAAAGAGACAGAGAGCTGGTGTGACACTGACTGCACCCCAAAAAAACACAAAGGTGACACTCCATCTTTGCTCCTGCCTGATAAACCTCACAGAGTGTTGTCAACATCTCATACAAGGAGGGTCTTTGTCAGGCAGAGTTGGTGAAGCTTATTTGCAAATTGATACAGGCATAAAGGCCTCAGGTCCAAACTCACTCACTTTTGTGATGTGCATGTGCAGTTTGTTGATTGAACTTTCTCATGAGATGAGGCCATTTCTTGATGTCACCTGCTGTCACTATAAACACTTAATGTTAAACAACTATAACACTGAGTAGCTTTTCCATCACACACCCACATGCACTGTAGAGGATGTGTGTGTGCAAGAATACATCAGCCGTAAAGTGACTCCCTTGTTATTATGTGACTAGAAGTATTGTGAACAGTGTATTGGCTTGCTGGTGTAGGGTTGTAGGAGTGGGAACATGATTCGTTGTGGGACCTGTGATACCCTCGTGAATAATTTAAGAGTTTTGGTGGAAAGGAAGGGAGGACTGAGGGTGAACACTTTGGGATTGAATGAACCAAATTGTGTGTGATTTCTGTATATGTATTGTATGTGTGTGTCTGAAAATGTATGTGTAAAAGACACAAATATAAAAGCAAGCAATGATAAAGCTGTCACTTTGTGCTACTGTACGTCATAGGCCAATCACGCACTTACTCATATCTATTCACCAATACTAAAATGAACAGCTCTCTTCAGTCAATGAGGGCATAAAGCAGACAGTTTGATACAGTCTAAAACCTGAGAGTAAAAGTAAAGGATAGGGACAGGAGGGAGACATTAAGAGGTCGCTCTACTTGAAATAGATCCGAAGGTTTGACGCATGACCTTACCCACCCCTCAATTTCACAGTAAAGCAAGACGACCCAGACACATGTACACGTTTTACCACACACACATGCACAGAGCAGCACACATCAAAGTGAAAATAAGATTGCGCTCCTAAACATGCCGTATACTTGATATTCTGGCTATAGAGACACGATTTTCCCCTAAAATGGATGAATGTTTAATCAATAGCATATTTTGAATTTATTAATAATTTCAGGATGTACTAGAAAATGTTCGGACACTTAATGAATCTCTTCTATAAACTTCTTATCTTATGTGCTCTCCAGGTATCTATTTCAGCTTTAAATCTAGACACTAAATAGTACAGTTTGGTCACACAGCACTTTTGCAGAGGAGATTTCTTAGTTTGTGCCGCTTTTACGACTCCATAATGTTACAGCGTCTGTTGGCAACCTCAGATAGCCTCAGTGCCCCCTCGTAACAACTCTGACCCCTCAGTAACCTCGCTGCCTCGAGGTTCGCTCTGTTTCCTTATCAGGTCAAAGGCTCTATGAAACAGCACTGAACAATTTAGATGCTACAACTTCCTCTTGCTTCCTCTTAGCCTGGTGAAAACACGCTAAAGCTGTTTTGTAGAGCTCAAATGATAAGTAAATTTATCTCCAACAATTTTGATAATTGCTGAATTGTTTAGACCTTTTCAAGCAAAATTGACAAATAATCTCTCGTTCCAGTTTCTCAAATGTCCGGATTTTCAGCATGCATAATTATGAATTGAATCAATTTGGGTTTTGAATTGTCGGTCAGATAAAAACAACCTATTTGAAGATGTTACTGTGGACCTTTTCCTATTTTCAGATATTTCATTGCCCAAACAATAAATGGATTGATCAAGAAAATAATATGAAAATTATTCAAGAATGAAAATCATTCAGTTGCATCTCTAGAGATTTGAACAGGATGATATTCCATGTAGATTTTCTTGAACCTGAGGTAGAAATGTGAGCTTTGAAGTATAAGAAATAGAATATTCTACAGTCTAGAAATTGACAATGAGCAAATAATTAAGTTTGATTTTTTGTTAGAAGAAATACAAACTGTAGTGATACGGATATTTTACATGGCCCTGTGAGAGTCAATAACTTTCGAGCACCCCAAACCCCTAATACATGAAACAGGAACTTTATTTTCCAGAAAGCATTTCCATGTTTGTAACAATGTCCAACAATGACAATATTTTCACACGACTTTAAATGCCTTTTACCTCTAGTCCCCTATACACCCTTTACTTTCATATATCAATGAATGAGTGAAGTGGTTTTGGAAACCTGTCTAGCCATCAACATACCAAGACTGTTTACTCTCTCTTCTGATAACTGCTTAACAAGCAATTACAAGCTACTCATTGACTCTGTAGAACAGCAAGTTGGTTCACTGGCTGAATGACATTAGGATTCTCATCCATCCGGTGATAGAGAGGCGAGATACAGGAAGCAAAATAACTGTGTTGGATATAAACCTGTGCTTGTGCTTTACAAAAAGGCATAACAACCGAGATAGTTGCAGATTTAAAAATAAATTATTCGTATTATCACATTGAATACTGGTTACTAATCACTCAGCATTTATGGCAGCTGGTCACATAAAAAAGAATACCCATCGTATATATCTCATTATTCATGTCTTAATAGAGTGCTCTTTGGCATGTGTCAATATGGGTGGACAGATGCTGCTGTATGTGTGCCATGAGAGGGCCATTGTTACAAACTAATGCTTATATGAGGGGTTATTTGTTCAATGGCACATGTGCCATGAATATTAAACAGCTCCTTAAAAAAGAATTATGGTTTTACGTTCATAGTTATGCTTAATGGTAACTACTTTGCAGGTGCTGCAGTTCTTTTATTATTTCTATTTAACTGTCTAACACATAAAGACCCAAAGATATGATAATTACAGGTGATAAATCTGATTAAAATCATTGTATTTTTTGGCTATATTGCCCTTTATTCATGTTATAATTTGTTATTCTATATTTGCCTCTGCAACTGCAAAGGCCTACTCTCAATATTTGAAAGACACACTAGTACCCCTATAGTTAAATGTGCCAATTTATAGGCCACTGCCAATGGTTTTTCAGTTAGATTAAAACCAAAATTATCTGTATCAGCAGTGCATGGACTTCCAGCCTGTGTGAAATAG